TCTCTTGCCGGTGTCCCCCATGCCTCTTGAAAATAAATTCCTGTGTGCGCAGTCACGATTCTCTGCAATCTAGGGAATGGTCTCTCTTTTGCTGCCTACTGACTAGTTCTCATGCAGTGCATTTCATTTCATCCCAAGATCTCACCTGGCTTTATAAAGGAGGACAGCAACATTATTCATATTTTACAGTTGAGGAAACTGATGCAAAAATGACCAGTCTTCCAAGTTCCACTCCTCCGCTCTCTTGACTAGGCCAGGGGTGGGGAACCTTTTTTGGGTTGAGGGCTGCTAACACACAGAAAAATCAATCGAGGGGCTGCACACAAGTAAGAAGAAAAAAAAAACAAAAAAACCCAGCCCTCATTGACGTGGTCCCTGAGAAGGAGAAAGACACTCCCCACGTTCCCCTTACATACCAGAACCTAGTTTTGTATGCTCCAGCCCCACAGTGGGGTGGCAGTGATGGGGGACTGAAGCACCAGTGAGGCTCGGGGTGGGCTTGAGCCTCGGGGGCTGCATCCAGGCAAACTGGGGGCTGCCCACGGCCCTGAAGTTCCCTACTCCTGGACTAGGCCATGCTGCTTATTGTTTCCTACAGATAAGTCTTAATACAAAAACGAGAGCTGGTTTCTGTTCCTGGTTCTGCCCCTGACCTTAGGCATGTTTTCCCCATGTGTAAAATGGAGATAATGATACAGCTCTCCATTATAGTTTGAATGCTTGTCTCTTCCACCAGCAGAGTAGGTCCAATAAAAGAGATCTTTCACCCTCCTTTATAAGCATTTTGAGATCGACCGATGAAAAGTGCCGTGTAAGAACGCAGTGGTGGTGTTTGTCATCTGTTTAGACCAGTGAGGGGCAGCCTAGGCTAGTGAGTGGGCCACATGAGTAGCCCTTCATTTCAATTGGTTGCAAGATTGTTGTAGCCAAGTCGGTCTCCCGGGATAGTATGGTTTTGCTTGTGTACCTAGAATTGGCAGGGTGTGCGGATGTAACCGTAGCAGGGCTTTGATTGGTTTCAGAGGGAGCACACGGCTCTCGCGATATTGTGTACAGTCAGCACGCACCTCACTTCATGTGCCCCTGCTTTACCTGTGTGTCACTTTAGTAGGAAAGGAACTATGTGGACGAAAACTGGCACAATCTGTCAACCTTGTGCATGGGCAACGGTAAACAAAATGTCTCATGGGCCACATATAGAACCCCATTGGGTGCCATGCGGCCTTTGGGCCA